GTATTCGTGGGGCTTTAGTTGGAGGCGAGTTACATCCGCCTTGTCACAGTGCTGGGACACAGACTTCCGTGGCTGTTATAAAGAGAACGCTTGCCAAGCGAAAACCCATGGTGTCCTGCAGCAACGTCGCCAAGTATTTGCTGGAACAGAATAGACCCAACGAAACAGCTGCTGCCAAGTGGATGTCATATTCGCGTTGTTGCTTGAGCAGTCTGTAGTTTCTGACAAGCAATAAGCGAGTGATTAGACACTCGCTAGGCAGGACCATAAGTTAGGCAGTTATTGGTTGCTGCAGGTGTGTTGTAATACATAACGTCTTGGCGGCTGTTTTTTAGGCAGATCATGGCTGTTCCCTTTCTCTGGCTATGGACATCCAGATCCAATTGACCGGTGCTAGTAGGCTGTCGCAACCAGGCTGCACCTTAACAAGCTGCGGCGGTTTGCGTACCTACTTGACCCATTGAGCTATGCCGGGTAATGCCCCCCAGCACATTGAGATCTAATCCAACCAGTTGCTCATTGGTAAGAGGTCAGACAAACACAGTCTCCTGGTCCTCCAGGTTGGGTGTTTGAAATGGGAGGGCTCCGTTGCTGTAAAATTAAATTATCGCCACCTCCTCGCCGTATTGCAGAAAGGCGTTTGAGCCAACGGCTTTGGAAGAGGACTCTAATTGTCCTCCTTTCCAGGTCTAGGAGCCCTGACAATATCTCAGCCCACACCAACCATGACATGCTCTTCAAAAATAAACTTCATCCTGCATCTACCGTCACGCAGATTAGCAAGGATCGCCTTATCTACTGCATACAGCAAGGCGGATAAGCTCAAACATGCTACGGCTGACGCCGCCCCCTTTCTTTCCCTCTGTTTCACTTACTCCGAACTCGACCCACAGTACTAACATTCCTGCTATATTTCCCAGCTTAATTGACAACAAACGAAGTGCCACTGGAGTAGAACCATCTGCAGCCACCATCCCACAACCCAAATCAGACGTCTATCGGTAAAAGTCTCTTATAAGGCCATGGCGACAGGCAACGTTCGCCCTCTGAGACCAACAGGTCAACAGGCTGCACTCGAACAACCTTTGGATCCCACTGGGTATTGATATGGGTTGTGTGTCCGAAACTAGCAGCAATGAATTATCTGCACCCGGCTTATTCCCTTGTTATTGGTTGCAAGCATCGGAGACGCCAATGCAGCACACACGGGGCAAACTGGTGTAGACATCATACTTAGCCTCAAGGCTGAACCATCGTTGGTTGATTGGATTCCGGTGAACAGCCATTTATGTGCCGCCCGTTAGATGACATTAGCTAAGGTGCATTCGCGAAGTAATAGAAAAAGCAGTTTGTTTGTGCCTTACGTTTATGCTCCCACCGACTGTAAGTATAATGCGGTCAATGCCTAATTTTATCACGAACAAACGCGCTACTACGCAATGCTACTTGTTCAGATATTATAGTACTTGCAAGAGATATGAACACACAAGTACGGCGTATGACCACTTCTGAAGCTCAGGTAGGTGTACTTATGGGCTTAACTCCGAACTGACTGACAACGGTGGGTGTCTGCTGCAAATGTGTGGAGCAGAGTTGTTATTTAGCAGCACTGCTTTTAGGCACCGTGGGCGCTGAAGGGCCACTTGGCGTCCTCCTATATCTGGCCATCGATGGACCCAAGTTGCTCAATTTACCACAAGTTACAGATAGTGTGGTTACATCCCAGATTGCCGCTCTTACTGGGATACCTGGGTCGACTCTGATCATACTTTGGTACGCTGTCCTTTCTCCATGAACTTTACCGGGAGTCGCACCAAGCGTCCTCTTCGACTGACAGCTGAGAAATTGTCTCAGCCCTCGGTCAGGCAAGCATATCAATGCGCACGGAGTACCGAAGTTTCGTTGTCTTGTCCTAAAGCCACCGAGCTTCAGTGGAATAGGATCTCGGTCGCCACGCATGAAGCAAGAGCATCTGTTTGTGCCAATATCACTCGTCTCCGCATCAGTTACTGAATAATTGAGTGGGCAGTGAATTTGCTGGAATCTAGACGAAACCCTCGACTGGCTCTAAACACCATGTGAACAGATGGGCTATTAGGCGTGATGTAAGGCGGAGCCTGCGTAATGACAAGGAAGCACTGAGGACCGGTCGGCTCAAGAAAAAGAACACGCAGCAGCAGAAAGCAATTACCGCAAGCTCTTCCAGCTTATCAGCACCATCGGTGCCAGGAAAACAGGCATCATTGAGACAAGCGGAGACAGCGCGGGTTCACTGATGCACAATAAGGAGCGCATTATGGCTCGTTGGCCGGAGCAATTTATAGATCATTTAAGCTGGCTCCGCGCTCCCGGACTTCTTCATACTCAGCTGATGCAGAACGAACCATGGACGATTAGTTTAGAGCCTCCGTCGGAAGCCGAGGTCCGAAATGCAATCACGACTCATAATCGTTTACGCGCCATTGGGCCGGATTACCTCCCACCTGCACTATTAAAAGATGGTGGTGAGGTACTCTGCAAATCACTGACCTCCCTATTCGAGCGTATCTGGAAAATAGTGTCCCGGCTAACTGAAGCAAATCACTTATATTGGCAATATACGAGAAGAGCAGTCGCACAGGCTGTGCTAACCACAGCGGTATTAGCCTGACGCCAGTTGTGACAAAATCACTGGCCTCGTTTCTCGTTTGTCGCCTCACTACGGAATGGGAATCTCGGATTAGGGAAGGGCAGGCCGGTTTCCGCCCAGGACATAGCTGTATAGAGCATATATTTACTCTGCGGCAGGCGATAGAGCAGCAACACGCATACGGCAGACCGACAATAGCTGTGTTCTTTGATTTCAAGCGTGCGTTCAATTCAGTTGATCGATCGATTCAGTTCGAAATACTTGCGCGGAAAGGTGTTCCCACGAAATATGTGGACATCGTACGTGCTCTGTGCTCGAAGACTACAGGCCGCGTCAAGGTCTACTGTGACCTGTTGGATAGCTTTCCGACCATAAGTGGCGTTCATCATGGTTGTCAAATTTCCACTTATTTGTTCACTTTCGTCGTGCATTCAATCATGGAGTGCTCCCTTGAGGAATCTCACAATGTAGGCGTTGAGGTACTGCCTGGGGAAAGGTTAGTTGACCTCGATTATGCGGACGAGGTCGTCTTGCTTTTCGACGATGTTGCGGCGGCACTATCAACCCTGAATAGCCTGTTTAGAGTGGTCCCATTATTTGGTATGTGCATCGCACCTTCAAAATGCAAAGTGTTGCTGCAGGACTACCAGCCACTTTATGACCCCTTGATGCTTGCTAACGAGGAACTCGAGGTGGTTGATTGATCCACTGACCTTGGTAGCTGCATCAACCAAGATGGGCGCATAGAAACTGACGTCAGCTCACGCATTGCCAAAGCTAGAGTTGCCTTCTTGAACCTGCGGCATCTTGGGCGACAAAAGGGAGTTTCATTCCGTCTGAAAGGCCGTGTATACAGGGCCACAGTGAGAGCCGTCCGGCTCTATGGTAGTGAGACTTGGCCCCTTCGGTCTGAAGATCTGAGGCGCCTTCAATTCCTTGATCATCGTTGTATTCGCAACATTGCTGGTGTCGGATGGCACCAGCGTGTCCACAACGATGATGTGCGTAGGCGAGTACTAGGTAGTGATAATCGTGCTAGCTTTATAGAACAACTGATAGCAGTGAATAATTTGCGTTGGCTTGGGCACGCGCTGCGTATGCTTGGCCATCGCTTACCTAGGAGTGCCTTGTTTGTTTGTCAGGTATACGGTGGCGCAAGACTCGAGGTGGACAGAAGTTGACTTGGCGGTGGGAAATGAAGTCACTGACGACCAAAATGGGTGCCTTTGGTCCATCTCCTCTTCCGGGCTGGAGTACACGTGACTCGCCTTGTGTTTGGCTCGAGACTTTATAGCACATTGCTCGCAGCCGCCACCAGTTGCGCGTTTGCTGCCGTCTCCTAGTCGGATTGCCTGTTTAAAGTGTGTTCGGTGCTGGTTTATCTGCGAGCTAATGGCTGGTTATGACGCAGGGCAGTGAAAGCCACAAGTAAGCTATCTCGCCGATGCCACCTTATCTTTGCATGATAACCAACTGTTTCTGACGGTGTATTGTTAACATAAGGTGTAGGCGCTTTGACCGTGAATGTTTGCTCAGGACATTAATGTTGTTAGTTAAGCCCCCCTTCTCTCCCTCTCATTGCTCTTTTTTCCTTAAGTCACCATGGTTGCATAACAGCGAAGCTTCAGTTCAAATGGCCGTTGTACTGCTGTTGGCGATGATAATGGTTGTGACTATGGGGTGAGTGTGTTGGAGGTCTGATATGATCCACGTTTGCAAGTTCATTTGGTCGCAGAGCCACTTTCCGGGTGGGCTCCTTGATGAGTTCCTGTCGCTATCTGCAGAACTAGGATTAGAGAATCTTGGGCTGAAGCAGTCAGCAAAGTCCACGCAGTGGACTTACTTTTTGTCGACATCGCAAAGCATTTGACACGCTA